TGCAACACCGACATGATGGTTCACACATCAAAATACACGTCAGCATTCTTCTTTTTTTAATGATGTGGATTGTGTGTGAAGGACCTGGAGGAGCAGCTGGACGAGGAGGAAGCCGGCCGGCAGAAGCTGCAGCTGGAGAAAGTGACGGCCGAGGCCAAACTGAAGAAATATGAAGAGGACATTTTGCTCCTAGAAGACCAGAACTCCAAGTTCATCAAGGTGAGAGAGAAAAGGATATGAAGGACGGAGAAACATGTGAAAACCCAGAGAAGCTTTTCTCCTGCATGAGTCAATATCAGAAATACTTTATAAATGAAATGAGAAAATGAAACTAGTAAGACAGAAACAATACAGATACCTGACCAACAGGGTCCCTCGTGCACAGCCAACCTACGTACTCAGGTGCCGGCTGTGTTATATAAGCAATACAAATATACCAAACAATATATACTGGAAGGAAAGATGCAATGAGAATTATAAGCTTCTGTTTGTAGTGGCACTGTTGAAATAAATAATATTTAAGAATGATTAAATGCAGCAGAAAGTTTGAGATCATGGGAGAATTTGTTTCCTGTTTGTGTCCTTTAGGAGAAGAAGCTGCTGGACGACCGAATCAACGAGATGACCTCGACGCTCGCTGAAGAAGAAGAAAAGGCCAAAAACCTGGGCAAGGTGAAGAACAAGCAGGAGATGATGATGGTCGACCTGGAGGGTAAGAGGCACTTCAACCTAAACATCGCATGTATGAATCATTACATGCAGACTTCTGTTGATCCTCTGTGGCATCTCTGCTCTCGTGTAGAGCGGCTGAAGAAGGAGGAGAAGACGCGTCAGGAGCTGGAGAAGGCGAAGAGGAAGCTGGACGGCGAGACGACTGACTTTCAGGATCAGATCGGCGAGCTGCAGGCTCAGATCGAAGAGATCAAAGTTCAGCTGAGCAAGAAGGAAGAAGAGCAGCAGATGATGCAGACCAGGTAAGACGTGCTGACGGCTTAAGACTCTTTAATCAGCTCTCGCGTTTCACAGTCACATGATAACATATTTCATTTTGTCAATATCATCTTAATCCCGGCACAAGCGATCACATTGCGAGATTAATCGCTGAATTTCAATAGTAAATCATGATTTATGACAAAATCAATCACAAGACAATGTTAAAAAACAGGAAAGAGACTCCAGAGACACACCTCCAACCCCCCTATCCTCGCGTTCACATGAAGGAGTTTTCAACGTTAAGAGCAAGCAACAGAGATAATTGATCTTTGCTCAAGCTGTTATCCACCTGTGTCCTGCATTGTTGTTAGCATGCTAATGTTAGTGCCCTTTAGTTAGCTCGTAGCTTCACATTGCATGTAAATTGACACAGAATGAGTTTGATCTAAAAACACAGGATAGACTGGATTTCTGATATATTGATGTGTAGCATGTCACACGTTCTTCCTTTAATGTTCTAAAGATGTCCGTGAGTCTTACCTCTGCGTGTGTGTTTGTCTGAGTCTGAACGTGTGAGTCAGTCTGAGGTCATCGTTACATACCTGTGCTGTACGCTCATCACACCAAACACTGCTGCCGGACACACACACCTGCTGTCCAACATGTGCTGCATTTTATCTGACTGATAACACTCCAGCAGCTCGGCTCTGATCGTCCTGTGAGACTAAATTAGCCTCTGACATGTTGCTGTTATTTATTCACTGATTGTCGCTGCATCACAATGTGTGTTTGAAATGTTTCAGAATCAACATGTTGCAGCTGTTTGTCAGAGAAAACAAGTCCATAGATGTACAGTAGGTCCTTTAAAGCAGTGGTTCTCAACTGGTAGGTCAGGACCCATAAGGGGGTCATGGAGCCAGTTTTAGTGGACTGGGAAGGTGTGCCTGAAAATAATATCAAAACGTTTTTAAAGCACTTTTGAAACATTTTCTTCTGATAGATATGTGCGTCCCTTTTCTATGTTTATTTATTTTTCTGGAGTCTGCCTGTCTTGTAAACTGAGCACGCCTCATAATTCCATAAAGCCGTGTATGTGTTGTATTCAGACGTTATCTACAAGAGGTAAGCGTGCTCAGGCCCGGTTAGTCCTGGAGCAGTGTGAGTGCAGAGCAAAGGGGGGCCATCAGGATTTTTACTGTACAGGGCCACTGGGCCTAGAGTGAATGTGAAGGGAAGTGTGAGCAACAACTGCTTTGAAACACAGTGACTCTGCTGCCACCTGGTGGAGAGTTCATCAAGAACATTCTTCTCAGTTTCTAGAGACAACATTCTAAAAGTGGGTTTGACCCAGCAGCAGTTTCAGTGTGAGGAAAAGATCAGAAGTCATTACTAAATAATACTTAATGACGGTTTAATGTTTTTTTATTTAGATGGATCTGATAGAAGTTGCAGGTGAAGTCCTGCACGCTGTCTAAACATTAACAACGTTATCGTTGGTCAACAGGTGCGAGGAGGAGGTGAGTCAGAGGAACAACGCTCTGAAGCAGGTGAGGGAGATGCAGGCTCAGCTGGCCGAGCTGCAGGAGGACCTGGAATCAGAGAAAGTGTCTCGAAACAAGGCGGAGAAACTGAAGAGGGACCTGAGCGAGGAGCTGGAGGCTTTAAAGACCGAACTGGAGGACACGCTGGATACCACCGCCGCCCAGCAGGAACTCAGGTACTCTGCTCTGATTTATACACGCACCATTTTGTACATTTAAAATGTTTAAGTTATATTTCTTAATAACATCTTGAAAAACATACTGAAACTATAGGTCAAAGGTCAGCTGTTTTCACATCTGAACATTTCTAGAGAATTTCAGGAGAACTGCTCCTTATTTTAAAACATGTGGTATTAAAAGTACAAATCAAACAAATAAATAAATGAAAAGGACGTTCTGGTGTCACTGTTTTCCTGTAGGACGAAGCGTGAACAGGAAGTAGCTGAGCTGAAGAAGACCATCGACGACGAGTCTAAAAACCACGAGGCTCAGATCCAGGAGATCAGACAGAGACACTGCACCGCGCTGGAGGAGCTGTCTGAACAGCTGGAGCAGGCCAAGAGGGTGACGCACATTTTCTCATTTCTACAACATGAGAGGACGAGATGAACCGACGGCACGCCTAACGATGATACGCTCATGTTTGTTGTGTTTTAGTTCAAGGCCAACCTGGAAAAGACCAAGCAGAGCCAGGAGAGCACCAACAAGGAGCTGGCCTGCGAGGTGAAGACTCTGCAGCAGACCAAGACCGAGTCCGAGCACAAGAGGAAGAAATTGGAGTCTCAGCTGCAGGAGTACGTCGCCCGAGTCACCGAGGGAGAGAGGGCGAAGGGCGAGCTGGCTGAGCGGACGCACAAACTGCAGGTTTGTAACTTTTCTGATTTGTTTCAGAGAAATCAGCCAAATTTAGATGTTTGTTTTGATGTTTCCTGAACTGTGTTTTACAAATACTCTTTCCTCAACTCGATAAACATCCTATACCTCCGCGTCTCTCCACGCAGACTGAGCTGGACAACGTGTCGGCCATGTTGGAAGACGCGGAGAGGAAGGGGATCAAGATGGCCAAAGACGTCTCTGGACTGGAGAGTCAGCTGCAGGACACGCAGGTGACTTTGACGAGCATCACTCATCTTAACGCTGCATTTTCTTTATCATTTATAACAAACTAATCGGACAAATTGATCCTTTTGATGCAGGAGCTGCTGCAGGAGGAGACGCGTCAGAAACTGAACCTGAGCGGTCGTATCCGTCAGCTGGAGGAGGAGAAGAACGCTGTGCAGGAGCAGCAGGAGGAGGACGAGGAGGCGCGCAAGAATCTGGAGAAACAGATGTTGACGCTTCAGGCTCAGGTGAGACATGAAGGAAGGAACCTCTGGAGAGGAGGAGGCACGGTCTAACTGTCTGATGTTTTTTTAAGATTTGGTACTTTACGATACGTCGATCACTTGAGAACAAAGATTGTATCGCTTTAAAACATGCTGTGAATGAATTTGCTGTCAGATCTTCCTCCCGCCTGACTCTCCTGTTACCCTTCATGCAAACACAATAAACAAACAGCCAAATGTTCTGCAGGCAAACAGGAAGTGAAGAGACGACCTCTGGTGTTGATTTTCTATGATTGTGCTGAGACCTTCAACGTCATTCTTTGGGAAACACTGATACATGCAAACTGTTGTTCTGCTAACTCTGAGGGTTTCGTTTTTGTAGCTCTCAGAGAGTAAGAAGAAGCTGGAGGACGACGTGGGAACAATCGAGGGTCTGGAGGAGACGAAGAAGAGGCTGCTGAAGGACTTTGAGCTGGCCAGCCAGCGTCTGGAGGAGAAGACCATCGGCTTTGAGAAGATGGAGAAGACCAAAACGCGCCTGCAGCAGGAGCTGGATGACCTCACTGTGGACCTGGATCACCAGAGACAGATCGTCTCCAGCCTGGAGAAGAAACAGAAGAAGTTTGACCAGGTGAGCACACTCACGCCTCGTTACTGTAGAAAATATTATTCAAACAGATCAGAAACATGAATAACCTCCTCTGTGTAGATGCTGGCGGAGGAGAAGAGCATCTCAGCTCGTTACGCTGAGGAGCGCGACAGAGCTGAAGCAGAGGCTCGAGAGAAGGATACCAAAGCTCTGTCCATGGCCAGAGCTTTGGACGAGGCACTGGAGGCCAAAGAGGAGCTGGAGAGGGTCAACAAGCAGCTCCGAGCCGAAATGGAAGATTTGATGAGCTCAAAGGACGACGTGGGCAAGAATGTGAGTGTTCAGATTTTAAAAACACAAACAAGTTAAATATTTCAACCCTGCAGAGATCCAGGAGTAAGAGAAGCTACATACAGCTTATGTACTATATATGCATTTAATGTTTATAATACCACCATAATATCATCCTCAGGTCCACGAGCTGGAGAAGTCCAAGCGAACTCTGGAGCAGCAGCTGGAGGAGATGAAGACGCAGCTGGAGGAGCTGGAGGACGAGCTGCAGGCCACAGAGGACGCCAAGCTGCGTCTGGAGGTCAACATGCAGGCCATGAAGGCTCAGTACGAGAGAGACCTGCAGGGACGAGACGACCAGAGCGACGAGAAGAAGAGAGCGCTCGTCAAACAGGTGAAAGATAACACATGACATCTCAGACAGACGACATAGACGTTCAAATCAAGAGCCACAGGTTAGACCTGAACCCAGAGCCCCCTGCCCTGAGGACTACAGGCTTTGCACGAGCGACGCGCAGGCCACGACCACCAGGCCACCGGTGTCACAACGATACCAAAATTTTAAACTTAGATTTGATACAAACAAAAATCCATACGTGCTTCAAAAACACAGCAACAAAAACATAAGTACTAGACGCCCAAGATTTGGTCATTTCTTGTTTTCAGTCCTCAAATGTTGCAGACAAAACTCCTGCATGTTGTCTAAATTGCACAAATAAGTTGGCAACTTTTAGGTTACAAATTTGTGCAGGTTAGTCAGTGTCACCTCCTCTGCTCTCTGTCTGTTTGTAAGAGACAAAAACGTTGCTTTTGCATCTTCATGAGACGCCAAAGAGACTTGAAAAAAGCCAATATTTACGCTCAAATAATGTGAAATCCGACCCTCTTGTTTCAAAAGTTCAGGACTGTTTTCTGCTAACCTGCTCCTCCACACATCCTCAATCTAATGCATTTTCATCTGCAGTTGTTGCATGCTGACATATAGAAACCTTTGAGGGGGTTGAATATTTCTGCAAATCTCTTTAAAGACAGTTTAGAAGCTGCTTCGTCCATATTAACGACTTCAACCTGCTGCTTTCAGGTGCGAGAGATGGAGGCGGAGCTGGAGGACGAGAGGAAGCAGAGAGCTTTGGCTGTGGCGGCTAAAAAGAAGCTGGAGATGGATCTGAAGGACATCGAGGGTCACATCGAGGGAGCCAACAAGGCTCGAGACGAAGCCATCAAACAGCTGCGCAAGCTTCAGGTACAGATGTTTATAAAGAGACTCCTTTAATCATGTCTGGATTGGTTTCTCTCTGAGCAGCATTTCTCACGGTGTTCTCTGCTTCAGGCCCAAATGAAGGACTACCAGCGGGAGCTAGAAGACGCCCGAGCCTCCAGAGATGATATCTTCGCCTTATCGAAGGAAAACGAGAAGAAACTGAAGAGTCTGGAGGCCGAGATCGTTCAGCTGCACGAGGTACGAGAAGGAGGGGCGGGGCTGCTTTTTGTTTCACATGCTTACTGGTTGACAAAGCTGAAGACCCCTGAATTTAACGCGTAACCTTTCTGTTCAGGACCTGGCAGCATCTGAGAGAGGTCGACGTCACGCCGAGCAGGAACGGGATGAGCTGCAGGATGAAATCTCCAACAGCACATCTGGAAAGTACGTTTCACTCAAGCAAAGCTGATTTTCTTCTTAAAGTTCAGAGTATGAAACTTTAAAGTAAATTAAAGTATGTAACTCTGACACCTAGTGTTTAAAATGGGTACTGCAGTCCAAATCCAAACGTGATAACTGGTCTCATATCTGGCAAACCGAGGGGTCCTGAGGTCAACGATGACGTCATATTAAATGTAAAAGTTTTTTTAATTCATTTATCTTCTGTGTGCTTCAGGTCGGCTCTGATGGACGAGAAGAGGAGGCTGGAGGCTCGTATCGCTCAGCTGGAGGAGGAGCTGGAGGAGGAGCAGGGCAACATGGAGCTGCTCAACGACCGCTTCAGAAAGACGACCATGCAGGTGAGCTGTGAAGTAGGAGCACTGAGAGGAGGGGCTGGAGAGAACATCTTTAAAATGATAACGTGTAACAATCCTCCCTGCATCACTTCGTCCCCCCTGTCGTTCCTCAGGTGGACACTCTGAGCACGGAGCTGAGTGCAGAGCGCAGCACGGCACAGAAAAGTGAAAACGCCCGTCAGCAGCTCGAGCGTCAGAATAAGGAGCTTCGGGCCAAACTGGGCGAGCTGGAGGGGTCTGTGAAGAGCAGGTTCAAGGCCTCCATCACCGCGCTGGAGGCCAAGATCGCACAGCTGGAGGAGCAGCTGGAGCAGGAGGCCAAGTGAGAGATCGTTCTGCTGCTTCATTAAACTCATGAGAACTTTAATCTGTTCAAAATGTTTTTACAATGATCACTGTTTCTGCACTGAAGGGAGCGAGCTGCAGCCAACAAGATCGTGAGGAGGACCGAGAAGAAGCTGAAAGAAATCTGCATGCAAGTGGAGGATGAGCGTCGCCATGCCGACCAGTTTAAAGAACAAGTAAGTGATGCTGATAGAAAGTTAATCACCTAATCAAGATCAGAGCGCGACACTGCTCCCCCAAAATGCTTTCATCAAACGCCTTTTGTTTTTATTTTGTGTGTGTGTGTTTTTGTGTAGGTCGAAAAGGGGAACTCTCGCATGAAGCAGCTGAAGCGGCAGCTGGAGGAGGCTGAGGAGGAGGCGACGAGGTCGAACGCCTCCCGCAGGAAGCTTCAGAGAGAGCTGGACGACGCCACCGAGGCCAGTGAGGGTCTGAGCCGAGAGGTGCACACGCTCAAGAACCGCCTCAGGTACGGACAGAGCAGACGGGAAACAAATCTGCTGTTTAACATTTAAAAAAAAAAAAGTTTATTATCCTTTTAATTCAGGACAAGCATCAGTTTTACATCCAGGATTTTCCACAGTTTTCAAAGCTGAAACTCAGAGGGAAGAATGTGCTGTCGGGTCAGACACTGTTTTTAGCGCCTGTGTAACAGACTGCTCATACAGAGTTTGGAGGGATGGGAGTTTTTAACACACATGATTTTCATATCAGTCAGTCAAATCAGAGTTCTCTGTGATTTCAGCTGAACAGACAAGTGACCACACAGGGCTGTTCTCTGATGATGCTTTCCAAAGCAGCCCAGTAACATGAATTCCTGCTGAACTCCACAGACTCTCAGTCTGCGTTAGAAGTTCATAGGCTGTTGCACTCTGGAGCAGAGACTCTCAACATGAGGACCTCCAGCTGAGTGTGTTGTAGATATGATCCCAGAGGTTCTTGTACAAGCAGACCTTTGTGTCTGGGTTCATTGTGGATGACCACAGGCTCATGGTCACCCAATTCCCTGTGATCAAACAAACTGTTTTGTCCTGAAGGGGTCGCCAAAATCAACGAGAGGTGAAAGTCCATCATTGTTGATTTAATGAGCAGATTTCACAACATGCTTTCAGCTGTACGATCAAGAGAGACGTTTGCCTTTTAGAATACACTGACTGGATGAAGATTTAACAATGATAAAAAGTGATTTCTCTTTTACCCCTCCTCCTGCAGGCGTGGTGGCCCATCAGCTTCTCCTCCAGCCGCTCGGGCAGACGTCAGCTGCAGGTGGAGGGCACGTCTTTGGACCTCCTCTCTGACGACGAGCTGGAAAACAAGATCACAGACAACAACGCTAACGAGACTCCAGCTACTCCCCAACCCCAGCAGCAGGAATAGACGAGGAAATAACGCCTTAACCTTCAATCTCCCAGATCACAAAATAAAACAATCAGCCACCTCCTCCCAGCTGCTCTAATCATACTCATACGGCGGCCATTTTTATCTGACATCAAGCTCAGAGTGGGAACATAGAATTCTGTTTGAAGTCTGTCGTATAAATATCAACATTCAGATGAAGTGATAGTAGATACCAGCTTTGAAATGATGTCTCATGGGGCGCTGGTAGCCTAGTGGTTAGTGCGCGCGCCCCACGTATGAACGCTGTAGTCCTCACAGTGGGCGGACGGGTTCAAATCCGACCTGTGGCTCCTTTCCCGCATGTCAATCCCCACTCACTCTCTCTCTCTCAGACTCTATCCACTGTCCTGTCTCTGAAATAAAGCCCCAAAATAAACTTTTAAAATAATGTCTCATGTTAGCAATTAACAGCTTTCTATGAGCTGTGAAGGGGCTAAATGCTAACACTACCATATAAGGATGTAACAATCCACTCAACTCACGCTATGAATCACAATACTGGGTCCCCGATATGATTTCATCCTATCTAATTAGAATTTTTCATATTTTTACGCCTCTCTTCCTCGGCTAATTATGTTGAAACAACAGAGGCCAAAAGCAGATAGCACCCTCTGCTGGTTCAAATAGAGTATTGCAATATATGTTTTTTGTCTAGTCGATTTAAATCGTCCTTTATTTGTATTGATTTTTATATTAATATTATCACAAGCTACCTGTATGTCCCTGTTACCATATGATCACAGGCATAAATACAGTCTGGATATTATGAGAATTTGTCCGATGTATATACGACCTAATCACCTGGAAGACGTTTATCATTTTATCATCCTTTAAGGTTTCCATCCTGAGCTTCAATCAGACGTAACTATGGCCACCGTGTGAATATGTTGTCCTGCTAGCCCATGTTAATGGGATCTCTCCAAGCACATGCAGCATGATCAAAACAGGATTCATCTATAAATCCTGACGTTGTATCTCAGCCCTGACACCAGCAGACGGACCCCGCCCCCCCCAAACGCTCAGCCCTCTTACGAAGCACTTCTCTGCCTTATACCCCTCGTTATCGAGCTGCAGAAAAGACGTGCTTTATCGTAACCTGCACAGAACCTGCACCTGAAGAAACAAAGCACGTTAACATGAAACATGTCGACCTTCTGATCGGGTCGTGCTCGTAGCTCAACGGGTGTTTTTGGATGATGGTTATATTTTGTTGGACCAGATTTTTAAAAAGCTCTTTGAAACGCTTCCGAATGCTAAAAGTTCAGCATTGCAATATTTAAAGCGAAGGAGCCACCTGACGTTATCTCTTCATGGATCTACAGTTATGTCCATCATATAAACCAGTTTAGTTATCTTAGCTGACATGTAACTTGATAGTATTTTTTAAACCCACATGCTCTGATTGTCTGCTTGCGTATGAAAATAGAAATGTGACTTTAAGCTGCCTCTTTGCCTCGCGATGCTTTTCTGAAGGTTTTAACCATATTCATGAAGCGGCCATTTTCCTCTGATGTCACTCTCCGGGATGGAAGCTCAAACGCTTCATTTCAGCTACTGTCTCTTTAAGGCCCTCCTCCCCATGTGCCAACTTTCCTCTGATTGGCCGGCTCCCTGGAAGCCTTCAGAAGGGCAGAACGCTGCAGGGCTGCCAGGGGAGTGCTGAGAGAAGAAAACCTATGTAAGAGGTTTCACCGGCTTACATAGAGGCTTGAAGCCATCTCGAGAAATTCTTGGTTTCATATCGGGGAACTGTTTAAAACCCGCCTCAGCTCCAGCTCTCAGCCTGTCGTTAGGTTGACTGAAAGTTAGACTGAGACAGCATTTCCAGCATGGAGACCGCCATCGATGGGACTCCAGCGCCCCCTGCAGGAACAGACGGGGGACGCCACTCAGGCTTCAAACGTTAATATTTACAGTCTGTGGGATCAAATGAGTTAACAGCGGTAAAGGATAAATAGCTGACAATCTTCCCACACTGAGCATGACATCAGAGGAAAATGGCTGCCGTGTGAGCAGTGAATTGGTTCTATATATCTGACAATAGGTCGGTGTCGACTTGTAATTATTCGTTGTGAAAGCAGCGATCCGAGCATGTTCCTCTGCTTCCTTCTTCTTCTGTGCCTTTTTCCACTCATGTGAAACTGAAACCCCATGTACGCCACTCACATACTGAACGAAGCGTCATTTCATGAAGGTATTTTCATAGTTTTTTGCATTTTATCACGAGATGTTTGTGGGGTTTCCTGTGATTTGTATGTGCTGCTGCAGCAGTGGTTGAAATGTCGAGCCGTGCAGGAGTGTTTGTAGTCGGGTGCGATGACTTTTCTTATCGATAACTTTTATACTTTTTGAGTTATTAAGATTTAAAAAACAATCCAATAGACAGCGACTGTATTTATATCTCTGCTACTGTATTCAGTACAAAAGTCCATTCATATTTCAAGATGCCCAGAACTCCACGTTGACCAGCTGTACCAACGCTCTCCATCATGACATGTACAGTTCATGAGTTATTAGGAGCTATAATGCATTAAAGTCTATTGAGCCCAATTCACTCACCTTGTTTCTCACCTGTTTGTTTTTGTATTAATCCCAGAGGAGAAGATCGGGTTTACACTCTTGTTATTGACTGCTTGGGGCCCCAGACCAGTAAGGGGGACCCAGAGGGCTGACGGACTGTACACCAAAGCAGTGGCTCAAAATTTGCACATTTCACTGAGCAGACTCTTTTCTCCAAAGCGACGTACATCAGAGAGTAAGAACAACACAAGCAAGGATCTAGAAAAAAGGGAACAATGTCAGTAAGAGCAAACGATCAGCTTTGAGTCTGATTGGACACACAGGTGCTGACAGGAAGTGACCAGAGGCAAAGCACAACATTGAGGGCAGTTCTTGAGAGCTCTAATCAGTATAGAAACCATCTTATAAGTCGTCGTTATCAAACAAAAACCATCGTCATTACCATCATCATCATCAATAATATGGAGACCATCATCATTAAGTTAGTAGGTATTCATGAAAGAGCTGGGTCTTTAGCTTTTTCTTAAAGGTACAGAGGGACTCTGCAGATCACATGGAGTTTGGAAGTTCATTCCACCACCGGGGGGCGACAGAGGAGAAGAGTCTAGTCAGAGACTTAGGACCCTGATGTGAAGGTTGGATCAGACGCCTTTCAGTAGGAAACCTCCTTAAGGGGGCCCCATCTGACAGCACTCACTCAATGAAAAGAAAAATGAATGAAGAGGAATTATCTGTTTATCTGGCTCCCCAAATAATGTTTTGCCTATAGGGCCCCAACAGACTCTAGAGTCACCACTGGTTATTATCTGAGGTGCGCACAAGATATTTATTTTTACTTTTTTGGACTTCAGGGGCTCGTAGTTTAGAGTTGTTTGTGCTGTGTTTAAAACAACAATCAGAGGAGTTGCTTTGCTTTGTTTGCGTTTTGAGAAATACAACGTTATTCTCAAAATGCAAACACACCAACCCTGATCCTTCCAGTTTAGCTAGTTCTGGTCTAGAGATGATCTGAGGTGGTATAGATGAATAAAAACTAAAAGCACACTTTCTCCTCGGCCCTCAGGGGGGTTTGTGTGTCTGTCAGGGAGGAGATAAGGAGGCTGTAATGCGCAGAGTTGTGGAAACAACTTCTGTAATCCTTCATCACGTGACTCATAGTGAAATAATCACTTGATAATGAAGAGAGACGCGCGAGGAGGTGACACAAGCCGAGAAGTGAAGCTACACACACACACACACAGCTCTACAGCCTCAGGTGAGTGTGGATCCTGAACCTACACACACACACACACACACACACAGCTCTACAGCCTCAGGTGAGTGTGGATCCTGAACCTACACACACACACACACACACACACAGCTCTACAGCCTCAGGTGAGTGTGGATCCTGAACCTACACACACACACACACACACACACAGCTCTACAGCCTCAGGTGAGTGTGGATCCTGAACCTACACACACACACACACACACACACAGCTCTACAGCCTCAGGTGAGTGTGGATCCTGAACCTACACACACACACACACACACACACACACACACAGCTCTACAGCCTCAGGTGAGTGTGGATCCTGAACCTACACACACACACACACACACACACACAGCTCTACAGCCTCAGGTGAGTGTGGATCCTGAACCACACACACACACACACACACACACACACAGCTCTACAGCCTCAGGTGAGTGTGGATCCTGATTTCCATCCACTTACAAACACGCACATTTGATGCTCTGAAATGTAATTTGACTGAATTGTTGTTCCACTTAAACCTGGGTCAGTGTGGGAGGCTTTGATTCATAAAAAACATTATCTGTCAGTTGAGCAACAGTTGGCGCAGTTAATTACAGGGTTCAGATGAATTGCCACACACAAACAATCCGACTCTGACATCAATTATTCAAATGCAAATGAGCGCGTGAATCACAGCCGGCACAGCTCTCCTATAAGAAGAGACTCAGAACGTCCTGTCGTCCTCGCAGGGCCTGACAGGTGATCCTGCCGAGCGCAAGACGAGCACAGGAGAGGTGAGAAGAAGAGAAGAAAGTTTTCTGTGGAGGAGGGGAGAGAGAGAGAAGTCGTAGGATGTCTGTTATTGGCGCGCTACCTTTCATCAAACCAATGCTGCCTGGACCGTCCGTCTCTCCGGGCATCCAGAGGAGACACACTCTGCCCGCGAGCGAATTCAGACCCCTGAACACGCAGGACGCCATCAGCGTGTTTGAGATCGAGCGAGAAGGTGAGTGACGCATTTTCTGAGTCATGATGAAGTGATGAAGCTGAAATCCGCTCTGACTTTGTGCTCAGGGGACAGAAGCGTTTAATCGAGAGAGGGATTTGCGTAAAACATTTGCAACATTGATGGAACTAATTCCCTCTTAGTAATGTATTCATTATATGAAAGTCACCTGTTAAATATTCTTTTCATTAACCTCCATATCTTTTTACCTTTAACACCCTCAGAAGTATGATAAGTGGGTTTTGTGCAGTTTAAAGCGTGCGTAAAAGTTGTGCCAAACCATTTATACGCACGCTAAAAAAAATACCGTTCTCTTTCTCTTCCAGCGTTTATCTCAGTGTCAGGTGAGTGTCCCCTCCACCTGGATGAGGTGCGTCATTTCCTCACACTGTGTCCAGAACTTTCTATGGGATGGATTGAGGAGGGCCGGCTGGTGGCTTTTATCATCGGCTCTCTGTGGGACCAGGACAGACTCTCCACAGTAAGACATCAGGCACATTAACAAACTAACATACAGGTATGAAGCGAATAAATCATCATAATCGCTTTTTTTTTTGCCCCAGGATGCACTAACTCTCCACAAGCCGCGCGGCTCCACCGCCCACATCCACGTGCTCGCCGTGCACCGCACCTTCCGGCAGCAGGGCAAAGGTCCCATCCTGATGTGGCGCTACCTGCAGTACCTGCGCTGCTTCCCAAACGTGCGCCGCGCCCTGCTCATGTGCGAAGAGTTCCTGATCCCCTTCTACCGTAAATCCGGCTTTAAGGTGCTGGGCCGCTGCGCCATCACCGTGGGTCCCCTGACCTTCACGGAGATGTTGTATCCGATCAGCGGGCACGCGTACATGCGCAGGAACAGCGAGGCCATCCGCTTCCCGCAGCATCCTCTGACTCTGCCGCTGACAAAGACTGATGAGCAGGCGGATGTATGACCAGGTGCAGTTTGTCACTCAGGTGTCACTCCTTTCTAGGAGATTATTGTTCATTAAAGTCTGCTTTCTGTTTGTTGAACTAAAGCTAAATGTGACGTCAGCCCCCCTCCTTCATGTCAAATAAAAACACAGGTTTCATTAAACCATCATGCGACTCTTACATTCAATTATACATCAGTTAGTTCCGACCAAGCAATCTGATTGGACAAGAGGCATTCCATGAGTGACGATATAGAAGAACAACATCGCCGGAATTTTTCACATCATGTGTCCCTCCGCCTCAGCATGCAGGAGCTCTGAACACCTTAATGAACATTTACAGCTGAGAAAGTTTTGATTAGTTCATCACCTCAAACCCCAGACTCTCCCAACACAATCAAATGTCACTAGTTTCATCATTTTAACAGTTAAGTAAAGGTTCATCCTACAAAGGTAGCTGCTTCTCTGTGGTAACCATGGACACCAACAGTAGAGTAGAACGTTCAGGTTGCTAGGCAACGGTCTAGTTACATTGCGGAGCTCGTTAAACTGCTGGAGTTAAAATATAATCTGTTGTTGATTTTTACTTTTTATTAATATCATCTGCTTGTATAAATGTATGAATAATGCATTATTAAAAGGTTATTTGCTGTACATGTTAGTGAGTGACCAACATGTGTTGTTGTTCAATAGGACAGATTTCATTTTGTGATGTTTTGTTTTATATTTGTGTCGGTTTCAAAATCTCAATAAAATGTTTTCTACTGTTTATAAGATTAATAAAAAAATACTTTTTTTATTTGATTTTCCTCCTGTAACACATTTATAAACACAAACTGACAGAAAACGAAAGTCCTCTGCAGGCACAAATGCACAGGTGTTGCAGCGATGGAAGCAGGCAAGAGAAGTGGTTCAGATAGAAGTGATTGTACCCGACCTAAAAAGCCTCTGCATGTTTCTAATAAGCTCCACGAGCAGAAACGTGCTCAAACTAGGATCAATATTGGAGATGCTTTTGAAAAATGGAGAGAGGTTAGAACACAGAAAGGTTTACAGACCCATGCAGAGCTGGATAAACACTGAAGCTTCAGAGTCCACCACATGGTGACCTGAGTGAGCATCCACTATAGAGAGGGGGGGGGGGGGGACAGCTCTCTATGATGTTTAGAATTTGGACTGCAGTACCCATTTTAAACACTAGAAAGACCAAGGCAGTCATTTTGACTGTTTTTTTTATTTTGCAATGTAATAACTTACTTAAAATAAAACCTATGTAACTACAGGACCATGACTTTTCCTAAATGTGTATTTTATTCTGGCATTGTTATTTTATCAAAAACACAAAACACAAAAGAGTTTTGAGTATTTCTACCTTGAAAGTCCATAGCGGGCATATTGACTGCATGCATTATAGCCAGTGTATCATTTCAGTATTTGCTACTTTTTCCCGCTCTTGAAGGTAGAGGTGGGCGATATGGGAAAAATATCATATCACGATTTTTTTTTGGCAAAATCACGATTACGATTTTATCACGATGTTTTTCATACTGTTCTTTAGACAAATTTGTAAGTTACTGACCAGTTCAACCAAACTTATTTACCTGTATGATGTTTTTAAATGCACAAAAACTGAGCAGACAAGTTTAATCTATTTGAAAAACATCTTTGTAGGAGGTCTGGAGGTCTCTCACCCAGAACATCTTTAGCAACAGAAATGTCTTTCCCTCAATTTGATCAATATTTATGAATGATTTGAAGGTTTTCCTCCCCACTCTGAAATGATGATTTAGTTATGTGTCCTCTTTTTATGTTCATCAGGAACATTTTCACACAGTGATGCATTCATTTAAAAACATGTAGACTTCAAGTTCTTGTGTTTCTGTTCTGTTTTAGCCCTGCAGAGTTCCTCCAGCTGGAGCTTCATACAGGCTCTGCAGACTTTGTTGTTTTTATGACATCATTGGACTAACTTTAGTTTAGTTTATATATAATCAAACATAATACAGAATGTGTTCATTCTGTGACACATGATCAAAGTAAGTTTTACTGACAGAAGAGTTTAATTCATAGAAGGGGCGGGACATCGTTGATTGACAGACAGACAGTCACCATGGTTACTCACTCTCACCTGCCTGCTGCTTTGTAACGTCGTTTAGTGTAATCCCTATAGGTTCAGTTATCACAACAGGTGAGCTTCAGGTGGAGAGGCTTGATAAGAAACTTTTAAAAACTGAGAGAGAGCAGAAAACACCGACAGCAACATTTGAAACACCGGGGTTATATCTCCCCTCACTGTCTGTCTGAGCTCCTCTCTGTCTGACTCTGACTGTTAACGTCTCTCCGTGTCGCTATCTGAGATGTAAATTTAACTGTGCACATTATGCAGATAAGTTAACTGTTGCTCACAGCGTGTCGGTTTGGAAAAATATCAGAACAGTTGCATATAACCGATAGAATAAACACATTAGCCCAGTTCTACGATCTCTCTGCTTTGGCAGATCGTCAGCAAGTTAAAATCCTTCACGATCTAAGATCGTTATATCGCCCACCACTACTTGAAGGTGCACATCGCTGTTGCCTAGCAACTATTGTTTATAACGCTCGAGCCAAGGAGGAAAGAAAGCTTACCCGCCTAAAACCATATAGAAAGAATAGGAGAGATACATTTGAATGAATCAACATTGAAAAGGCAGAATAGAGTAAATTAGGATCTGATTTAGAACAGAATAGAACGAAATGTCAGGAAGGAGGAGGATTGCTGCCACAGAGGCTCCAGAGCCTTGATGAGGCAGAGTCTGATGGAGGCGCAGGTTCGGATACAGAAAGTGATGTCTCCTGGTCTCTCTTCATCTGACACCGGCTCTGAGATTAAACCTGAGAATGATACAGAGATCATTCCCATTCGCAAAAAACGCCGGCTGCTGTTCCCGTGATTGTCGATAAACTATTCAAATTTCAAATTCATTAGAATTTAATGTTTGTGTCCTGAAGTTTATTATACCTTTCACAACATTACAGATCCATTTATTCTTATATTTGATATTGATTATTGAAATGATATGCAAATAATTCGTCAAACAGTCAAAATGACCGCTATGGCCTTTCTAGTAGTGATAGAATGCCGGTCGTTCTAGTGTTAAACACTAGGGGTCAGAGTTACATATTGCTCCATCAAACATCATCTTTAGTTTCAAATGTGAATAATTAGTTATTCAGTTATTCAATGTGAGGGTTTTATTTTGGTGCTGGGTGCAGAAATTCAGGATTGAAAGTAGCTCAAGTAGAAAAAATCTGAGGAGGCTAAATGAGGAATAACATCGTAAATGACATTGCATGTTCAATTAATTGTAAACTTTGATTTGCATAGTGCCACATCACAATGAAAGGTATTTATACATACGTCAGAGGTCGACTCTTTGTTTTATTATTTACAAAAACCTAACATGAATCCACCAATGCTCAAGCACTCGACAGACAGCAAGGGAAAAAAATAATTATTTTAAATGTCAGAAACCTCAAACAGGACAGGACACATTATTGGAAAGTCATCATCTGTGACCAAACATCACGTTTCCTCAGAGTGAGAGAGTTGCCATTCTGTTCCTCTGAGCTGCGGATCTGACGGCACAGACCGGCCTCTCGTGTTCACGACTGAAGCTTTAATCACGTCTAATCCACGGACGTGTCAGGATGAGTAGCTCCTTCTCCTCCTGAGGACAAACCTGCACCAAGAGCTCACCTGAAAGTGACTCGAAAACAAAACTGCAGTTCCTCCAGTGGCCACTTGAGGCTGACCCCAAAACAGAGTCGACCGCCTGTAGACCAGAATCACAATCAAACACATTTTAAAGTACATTAAAGGAGCAGTATGTAACTCTGACCCCTAGTGTTTAAAATGGGCACTGCAGTCTAAATTGACCCCCCCCCCCCCTCTCTAGAGTGGATGCTCACTCAGGTCACCATGTGGTGGACTCTGAAGCTTCAGTGTTTATCCAGCTCTGCATGGGTCTGTAAACCTTTCTGTGTTCTAACCTCTCTCCATTTTTCAAAAGCATCTCCAATATTGATCCTAGTTTGAGCACGTTTCTGCTCGTGGAGCTTATTAGAAACACCACTTGGCCTGCGGTGCCCCTCAGCTTACACCTCGTCAGATTTGTAGTATGTTTGTAGAAGTTTGTAGCACAGGTCCAACTTGTTGCAGCGGTGATGAGCAGGCTGGTTTGGATTGTGCTGTTCTGCTTTTTGTTGTGCTAATAATCAGTGTTGGTCTGTCAGATGTTCAAAACAAGTTCAGCTGCTCCTGTGTGTTTGTGTCGAGTAGGAAAATAAAGCTCAGAGCTGAAAGAGAGAGAGAGCTTTTAGTCACATGGTGTGTGGATGATTGCAGGGCGAGCGAACAGGAGGGCTGTTTTATATTCATTCATAAAAAGCATGAGGCCGAGACCAACATTTTAAAGCTTTTTGTAAAGGTTTAAAACATCAGCACGGCACTCAGAGTTATTATAATAATAATAATCCAGCTAAAACAAAAAGAAGCCGCCAATTAACGAGTGCATCAGTCAGGGAAATGTGTTTCCACTTACTGTACGTGACGTATTCTGCTCTTTATCAGGAGTAGAGCAGCAGAGTCTCTGCAGCGTCGATGAAATAAATCGCATGTTCAAAGAAAAACAGAAATAAGAGGCGGCCGGTACGCAATGCAGGATTGTCCAGTGTTGGAGTATTTGAGATCGGTCTTTTTGAAGGTCTCTTATCTGGTCTCGCACTGCCTTGGTCTTTTATAAGCCTCTATCCCTAAATGTCTTGGTCTTGTCTTGGTCTCAGAGCTCTCTGGTCTCGGGCATGTCTTGGTCTCGGTTAGTGGGGTCTTGACTACAACACTAGTTGAGTCATAACAGCATCACATTTTAACAAAGATAATCTTGTTTGTGAGGTTTTCTGTAATCCTGAACCGCCATCCCCTGAAATGAATCCAGCTGCTGGTGATGCCTCCCCACATGGGGCAAGCACACCAACCACTAGGCCACCGGGCGCCCACCATGGGTTTTGTTTTGATGAGGAGGTGAAGAAAGTTGTTCAGTCATGTTTCTATCAGCTTAAGGTAATGTGCTACGCTAATCCTTCTGATCCTCTGAGGATTTCAACACAGTTGTTTATCTTCATCGCCTACGATTGGTCCAAAATACTGCAGCTGAAATCATCAAGAAAACAAGATCTAATAACTCCAGTTCAAGCCTCATTACATTTACATCTTCTTTTTAAATGTATGACTTTAAAGGAGCAGTATGTAACTCTGACGCCTATTATTTAAAATGGGTACTGCAGTCTAAATTCTAAACATCATAGAGAGCTGTCTCCCCCCCCCCCTCTCTAGAGTGGATGCTCACACAGGTCACCATGTGGTGGACACTGAAGCTTCAGTGTTTAGCCAGCGATTCAAAGATGTCTCAAAGTTTTTATAACCTTTTTAGGATCTGCATATTGAATTAAAGACGCCATTTATTGTAACATTTTTTGAACTTCTTAAAGTGAAATAATAGGTAAAGATCCTTCACCCCTTCTGAACATAGAGTGCGGTCACGTCAGCCTCCAGACCGGCTCATGGTCAGTAATCCCACAAAGTCCTTCCAGTCAGCGGGTAATCTGGAAGACAGACATCCCATCAGTGGCCTCAGATTCCCACATTAGTACCTTTCACTGTCACCTCCTCTGCGGGGTCAGATCTCAGACTTTTCCCAAACCACATCAACTCTTTGAAGTCTGCCAGGAAAAAGGAATTTAAGCTTTTGTTGACGAGTTTCTACGGCGCTGATTTGTGACGAAGGGCTTCTAATTCTGAAGTCTGTTTTCTTGCCCAGGTTGTTTTTTTTTTCAGACACGTGCTCCCTCCAAGGTGACCCCTGAGTTTGACCTTGTGAACCACTCCAGGCCTGCGGTGAGCCATTTTTAATCTGCATCCATAATCCATCATTTCAAAGCATATGACTCATCAGGGTTTACCAGCAAGGCGTGCTAAGTATAGCGATATGGTCGTGAGGTGATGATGATTCATACTGTTGTGTTACTTTGTAATCCTTCTTTACATTAACAGCTAAACAACCATGCTAGCAGCTCTGTGAGGCTTTACCCATTTGCCAGATATGAGAGCAGTTATCAGGTCAACAGGTGTTGCAGCGATGGAAGCGGTCAAGAGAAGTGGTTCAGATAGAAGTGATTGTACCCGACCTAAAAAGCCTCTGCATGTTTCTAATAAGCTCCACGAGCAGAAACGTGCTCAAACTAGGATCAATATTGGAGATGCTTTTGAAAAATGGAGAGAGGTTAGAACACAGAAAGGTTTACAGACCCATGCAGAGCTGGATAAACACTGAAGCTTCAGAGTCCACCACATGGTGACCTGAGTGAGCATCCACTCTAGAGAGGAGGGGGGGGACAGCCCTCTACAATGTTTAGAATTTAGACTGCAGTACCTATTTTAACCACTAGGGGTCAGAGTTACATACTGCTCCTTTAAGTGATCCAAACCATGAATGATATTTTTACTTCTACTCGTGTACTCAAACCTTGACTTGTTTACGAATTAAACCAACCCAGTGAACAGACATTTTGTTCTTCATGTTAAAAAAAACAGGACAGAAATTCTCATATCAAGCTCGTAGTTTAATAAGAATGTGTGAAGTATTACGCTTGACACAAAAGTAAACCATAAAACACAAACATGACCCTCATTTTTACAGAAGACCCCCAAAGTAAAAAGCTTCACATGTTCAGTTTCACCAAAAAAGAAGAAACATGAATTTCTGAATCTGCACCTCAACATGTTTCAGTTAGCATTATTATAAAATCTGAAGCATCAGTTGCCGCACCAAATAAATCGTCGTCCATTTCTGTCTACATCCTGTAGGGCGAGTTGAAGCGATAGTTTGAGTATGACGGGGTGTTTAAAGCCTCGCTGGAGGCAACAGGAAGCAGCAGGAGCCCCGTGCTGAAGTCTTTCGTACACCGATCCATCGCCTGCTTGTATGAGATCTTCTCCTTACTGATCGGGTCGACCAGCTCTTTGTTGTAGGAAGCCTCGTCCTGCAGCTCTTTGCTAGTTTTGCTGTCGATCATATTGTCGTCGAGAGCTTCTTGCAAGGTGAGGCGGCCCGCTTTAGAGGGATCCACCAGCCCGCCGGTCAGGTACTGAGCCTCCATGTACCTTCTTGCGTTCTCTGCAGGGATATAACCTTTCTGGGCTGCGGGTCCCACTGGTAGACGTGCTTTGGTCGTGGGATCTTCGACTCCAGTGAAAGCTTTCTGAGCGTTCAGGAGCTTGTACATTTGACCCTGGTCGATGAGGCCTTGCTGAGCCGCCTTGTGGACGGAGAGTTTGTCCTTTTTGTTGAGATCGACGATTCCACCGGAGGCCGCCTGTGCCTCCAGCAGCTTCAGAGCCGTGTCAGCGTCGATGAGCTGGCGGGTCAGGGCGCTTCTTACGGACATGCGGCTGTTAGTGGTGGTGTCATAAACACCAGAGATGGGAAAGTTCTCGTCTCCCGCCGCGGCAGTGAGGTCTTTGGCGCTGCCGCTGTGGTCCGAGTTCAGGGTGGAGTTCATGTTGGAGTTGAGGCTGGGGAGGGAGGAGCGCAGGGAGGTCGGCATGGTGTTCATGTTGGAGTTGAGGCTGGTGAGGGAGGAGCGCAGGGAGGTCTGCATGGTGTTCATGTTGGAGTTGAGGCTGGTGAGGGAGGAGTGCAGGGAGGTCGGCATGGTGTTCAGAGGAGAGGGCGGGGCGGCTCTGGTGGGGGATCTTGGTGTCGTTATCGGTGGAAGAAAAGGCTTTTTGGATTCTCCGACAACAAGCAGGGCGAACTCAGAAATGGGCATTTTCCCTTCCTTGTAGCGCATCAAATCATACTGAGTCAGTCGACCTTCCCTCAGAGCATCCTTCACAGGGTACTGCCTCCCACTCTTACGATCCTGCAGAATCGTCGTGTCCCCATCTTTGCCCATTGAGGTGATCTCCTCCCAGTCACACTCCAGCTCTGACAGGTGGATGTACTGGTTGCGATCAATCAGCCCCGCCACGTAGGCGTCATAGGGACACATGTCTTTACCAGTTTCTGGGTCCATGATGGTGATCTTGGTGGACAGGTTGGTCTCTCTGGTGTGAGTCTCTGTCTGCTCTTCTGTCTTGATGCTGTTCTGCAGCTCAAATAAGAGGGCCTCTTTCTGGTTGATTCTGTCTTTCTCATTGAGGATTTCTGTCTCCAGACGTTGAACTTCCGAGGAGGACTTCAGAGTCCTCTGTCGCGCCATCTGGTTCCTCTCGCTCAACAGCTTGGACTGTTGCTGGAAGGTAATGCTGATGCTGTGTCGTTCGGACTCTAGCATTTTGAGCTGTTTGAGGAGATCTTCCTTCTCCCTCTTCAGAGCGTCTCTGTTGCCGCTGCGCGCTGTCTCCTCGTGTGAAGTCAGAGACTTCGACGACTGCAGATGGGTCAGTTTGATGTTAAGGTTCTGCACGTTGTCCTCCAGGTTCCGTCTGAGATTTCTCTCCTGCGTCACCAGCTCTCTCAGATGTTCCCTCTCGGCCTCGACTCCTGGGTCCTTCTCTACGCGGACAACTTCCCTGTAAACAACTTTCTCCAGTGACTTCTCCTTCTGCAGAATGACCAACTGGTGCCTCAGGTTTCGGATTTCTCTCTCCAGACGACTAATATTGGTGCTTTCAGTCTCCAAAGTGATGCGTAATTCATCGGCAAGTTTTTCCAGATAGGGATCTCTCTCCACTTTGAGGACCTCCTCGATGACAATCTTTTCCTCGACGGGCGCCGGAAAGTTTTCTAATTCGAGGATGCGAGCTTTGATCTGCCTGAGCTCGGACTCTACCTGAATCTTCTTGTGGCGGTCATCCATCTGAGACAGGGTGCTCTGTTTGTCTTGAACCAGGGATCTGAGCTGTCTGACCTCTAACTCCAGCTTTCTGCGGTTCTTCATTTCCTCGTCCAGGGACTTGTTCAACTTCTCATGTTCCAGGATCTGCTTGGGGTCCTTCTGAAGACGCACCATCTCCTGCGTCACGATCTTCTCCTCCGGTTTCTGCCTCTCCAGGAGGATGTACTGGTTCTGAAGGTCAAAGAGGATCTCCTCCATACTGCGGCGCTGCTGAATCTCCTCTCTGAGATTCCTCCGGAGTCTGTCCGCCTCCTTCTCAATGAGAGGATCGTTCTCATATTTGATGAGCTCTTTGTTGACCAGCTTCGTCTCCACCTTTGATTTCTCCGCCTTCAAGTCGTCCCTCTCTTTGCGCAGGTGGATCAGCAGCTCCAGGGTGGTCTCGCAGTTCAGTTGAACGCGGGACACTTGGTTGTTCAGCCGTTGCAACTCCCTGATGACCTCGGGGCTCTTCTCCTCGATGATCACCTCCTGGGTCACCTCCTTGAACTCCACTTTGGGTTTCTGGCTGCGCTGGGCGGTCAGAGTCGTCATCAAAGAGGTGATTTCCCTCTCCAGGTCCGTGCGGTTACGATTGGTGTCCTGCAGCTCTTTCTTCAGACGCACCAGCTGGACTTCTGTATCAGGATCCACTCTGAAGATCTCATTGATCACCTCCTTCACCTCGACTTTAGACCGGAGCTTCTCCACTTCACTGTAGCGCAGCTGAAGCGTGGTCAGATCCCTCAGCAAGATGGCGTTCTCCTCTCTCTCCTCTTCCACGGCGATGCGCAGCTTCTTCGACTCCTCCACGGTTTCTGGATCTTGTTGAACCTGCTTCACCACCTTGCTGACTATCTTGGGCTGGATGGTAGGAATGACCCTCTCCAGCGTGTTTATCTGGCTCCTTATTCTAAAGATGTTATCGTTGAGCTCCTTCCCTCGAGATTCAGACTCGGAGATCTCGCTCTTGAAGGTCAGAACGGCTTTCAGCATCTGTGGATCCTTTTCCAGCCTCACCACTTCTTTCTTCACCACTGTCTCCCTGACTTTTTGTTTCTGCTGAGACAGAACGGTGAGCTGAGTTTTCACATGGACCGTCTCGGTATCCCTCGTCTGGAGCTCGAGCCGTAGCCTCTGCATCTCTTCTCTCATCTTTGCGGCTTCTTTGTCGAGCTGCGGGTCTCTCTCGTATTCAGTCACCACCTTGTTCACTAGTTTGGGTACGACTTTGGTCAGCTGCAGCTCCAGTTTGATAATCCTCTCGTTGAAGATCTCTATCTCCGAGTGGGTGCGTGATCTCTTAAATGATTCCTCCTGGATTCTTTTCCTCAGAGACTCCAGTTCCACCTCGAGTTTGGGTTCTCGGTAGTACTCCACCACCTCCTTTTCCTGAAACCTCTCCACCCCTCTCCTGCTCTTCAGAGACACAAACCTTGCACGGTATGTTTGCAGGTTTTTTTCTGCAAGTAAGCGTCTGGCAACCTCCTCGGCTAATTCGTTTTTCAGGCTATCACTCGCCTCCAGGTCCTTCTTCTGGCTCTGCATCTGCAGCTGCTGACTGACGACCACCTGGTTCACTCTCTCGTCATTCTGGAAATCGAAGGAGAAAGAGGGCGATATCAGAAAAGACAGACTGTGATGATGAAGGTCAGATTGTTGCTCTTATGAGTGATGTCATACCCTGGCCTTGATGCTTTTTGCCGTCTCCAGCTGGTTGAGACGCTGGCTGTTTTCTGCAGAGACCTCGGCGTAAAGGTTCAGGAGATCTTTCTCCTGTGGACGAACCAGAAGGTCAGATTACAAAAGAAATTGAGTAAGTAAGTGTGAGTAAAGAGAAAAGTCAAAATTGTCTTAAGCTAGGCATACACTGTGAAATGTCAGACCGCTTCAACGTGATCGATTGTTGTTTGGTGTGCGGAGTACACTGAGGCAGAACGCCTGATTGCCCCCGTGCAAACTGTCAGACACTGTCATAGATCACATGGCAACAACAGTCATGCCTGTTTGATATGTTTTTCCCTCCCATCACCAAAGAGGTTAATGAGAGAAATGTCGGCAGGAAATATCTGAAGACTTCCAGCTGATAGGGATGCGGTTATTGCTGATGCTTAGTGTGTGTGTCGACAATCTGACTTCACAATGTGAGCTCGGAAATTAAACGTTGATGTCCGGCTTTAGGTGCCTTGTCTTAAAGCGTACCTTTCTCTGCACAGCTTGAGCCATAGTCAAAGTTTGCAGTTTCTTTGGGACTGGTTCGTCGTCTTCATCGTCATCATCATCGCCGTCATCGCCGCTCCTCAGAGTGCCGCGGTAAGTGTTCGACTTTATATCGTACTCCTGGAAAAAAAAAAGTATTTAACAATCAGGTAATAATAAAAACATGTGCTCTGCTAATTCTTAGATCTTGGAGAGAATCAAGAACTCTGACACTGAAAATGTGTAAAGAAGAAATGATGACAATAGCTGCTTGTGAAAATATGCTTGGAAACTGAACTGGAAAAATGACATTTCTAAGGAGCAATGGGAAAATTTTAGCCAGTTTATATCAGGAGAACGCAACACATCACTGTTGATTGACTTTTGTTTGTTTGTAAGCACGTCATATGCCCTCCTTCTGGTGATGCACTGTTGATACTTTCTTCATCGTCGTATCTAATTTCTGTCATCCATTTATTGTCTATTATGTTTCCTGCCTGTTTTGTTGTTCCCTTTTAGTCTCTTTGTTTCTTTTTATAATTGTTTGCCATTATGTGTTTTTACCTATTTAGGTTACTTTTAGCTATTTATTTAATTTTCTGTCACAATGTGATAGACAATTAAGTTTTTTGAATCTTTGAATCTTTATAATGTTGTTATAAAAATCAATAAAATATAAATTATTTTTTAAAAAATGCTTGAAAGGTAATAAATGCTTGAAATGTTTGAAGCCTATTGACGTTGATAAAAGAGACAAACACTCTGAACTCACGTTGAGGACGTTCTGCAGGTCACGGGAAAGAAGCTTGACTTGGTTTAAATCATCCGACTTCTTCTTGATGTCCTCCATCACTCGCTAAAGAAGACAGCGAAACAACACAGCGGATCATTTTACAATAATGCTAAATCCCCCTGCACTCTCTCCATCCATTTGTAGTTTAACCCTCTTGCATCACTATGGACATTTTTGTCCATTTGGTCAAATGTTTCCTCTTCATCTGCTCATCATTTTGTCTGTTAGAGCATATGGATCACATTTTTGTAAGAAAGCCTCTCTTGACACATTTTGGAATGCACATTTTATTTTTTTTAATAGATCAATAGAACACTGAAACATGTTTACTACCCTCTGAATAATTATCAGGAATTTAACCCTTTAAATGCCAGAATCATCAAACTGGCATTTAAAGGGTGAAATTCCTGATTATTACTCAATGTTTGATAGTTTTGAGCAGGGCTGAAGTTGTTTAAGAGATGAATGCAGAAAAAAGTAGAAAAAAATATCAATCTGTCCTATTTTTATAGCAGTTTTTTGGAAGTGGACATTTTTGTCCTTAGTGACTTAAGAGGGTCGTAAATTAAACTGATGCCTGAGGGTTCAATAAGAAAACGGAGTTGTAAAGATGATTTTGTACGCACCTTCTGGGAGTTCTGCTTGGCTGTGATCCGTGCCACATCATCACTCGCTTTGATTTTATTGTCGGGAAGATTAACCAGGAAGAAATCCAGCGAATGAACGGCGTTCTGGAAGTCTTGGTTTCTATTGGTCCCGTCCTTTAGGAGAGCAGATCTGAAGCAAAATGTGAAAATAAAAACAACAGATATCAAACTCAATTCCACAGAATCCCAAATAACATCAGGATTTCTACGAGGTTAAGAAGCACACAGAGACAGACCAGCTGATCTCGCTCACCTGTCCTGGAGCTGATTGTTGACCGTCGTGTAGCGGTTCTTCAGTCGCTTCACCTCGTTCTCCTGCCGCTGGATGTCAGGACAGTATTCTTTGAAGCTCTGCTGCAGGGAGCTGCATGCTTGTTGCGTCAGGTCGAGGTCTTTACCTAATTTATTCAGAACATCCTTCTTGGCAGCCACATCCTTACGTACAGCCTGTTTGATATAAAGACAAAAAAAAAGTTTAGATAACCTTGATGCTTTCTGTGCTCCATATCTCATATAAGACTTAAACTTTCAGCCATCTATTCTCCACTTATCAGAGGTCGGGAAGCAGATGTCAACCCAGACATCCCTCCCCCGAGCAACATTTCCCAGCTTCTCCTGGGGGATTCTAAGCGTTCCCAGGCCAGACGGGATTTATAATCCCTGCAGCGAACTCTGGGTCTACCCAGGGTCTCCTCCTGGTAGCCCGGAAACCTCCAAAGGGAGACTCCAGGAGGATCCTAATCAGATGCTCGAACCACCTCAACCCGGCTCCTTTCAATGTGAAGGAGCAGCAGCTTTGAGAAACTCATTTCAGCCGCTTGTATCCCGGATCTTATTCTTTCAGTCTCAACCCAAAGCTCATGACCTCAGGTGAGGGCTGAAACGAGGATCAACCTTTTTAAAGACTCTTACATACTTGTGAGTTGCATCATAAAGAACGTCACCTGCAGCTGCTGGTTGCGACTCTGAAGGGCGTTAGGTTGATTGAGGATGGCGCCATCTTTAGTGAGCTGCTCCTCGTAACCAGAGACGATGCCATCCACGTTCTTGATCTGCTTCTCGAGGTACATGGAGGCCGTGGCTCTGGATCAGAGAAGAGACACACAGGGGTTAAATAAAGTCTCAACAACCATGTTTACAAATCGTCTCGTCTTGTATCAAATCTTCGAGGTAACATGTTTTTTTATATTTTCTTACTTTTTGCTGTAAAGATTGAGAAGAGTAGATGTCATCGAGCTTGTTGTTGGTGGTGCTGAGTTTGACGGGCAGGGTGGAGGCGGTCGGTCCGAGCGGTTTCTTTGCCAGGATTGGTTCCATCTCTCTCTGGACCGCAGACTTCTCCGCCTCCAGCTTCCTCACCGTCAGAGCAGATTTCTGCAAGAAAGGCGGTTTTTAAAAATCACAACAGGACAGATTTATGTGAACGCACAGACGAGAACACTGAATGAATCTAATCATTAAGATGTCTCCGGTCACCTCGTGCTCCTGCAGCCGTTTTGCCAGGTCCTCTGTGGGGTTAACATGGTCCAGCGGAGATCGAAGTCGATTCAGGATTTCTTTTTTGGTCCGTTCCAGCGCTTTGTTGATCCGGTCGAGTTCACTCGCCAGCTGTGCAGCTCGGGGATCCTCAGGAGCACTTTGTACGGTGGCTGAGAAGGAGCAAAGAGCAAAAAAAACCATCTACAATGAAAAAGTTTGACCGGCCGGATTCATCCATCAAACGCTCATCCAGCTTCTGGATTTATCTTTTTAACAAACTTTTGACTTTCTTAAAAAAACTCGACTTTCGCTACGACTCAAAGAAAACTAAATAAAACTTTTAAAGGTTTTGTTCTTCTCACCTGCCTTCTGAGGCCGCACCGCCTCCACAGTGGGGTTCTTCAGGGAGGCTAAGAGGGCGGATCTACGACTCTTCAGGCCCGTCAGAGCTCTGTCCAGACTACACACACACACACACACACACACACACACACACACACACACACACACACACACGTTTCATTAATATCCTCTGTAGTTATTGTAGATATATAGTCCTCCTCTTTGTCCAGACTTTCCATCAGGGGGTCATGGTGGACATTGTGCAGGACTAGTACTTGGTCGTTTACTTGTAACAAATTGGACTAGTCCAAGACCACCGAGGCCGTCGACCAGAAGGTCCTGAGCGGCCTCTCAGCCCCCCTGCAGAAGTCTCTCTGTAGTTTCTTTAACTTCCTGTGTTGTCGTTCTCGTCTCTTTGTGTTTGTTTTGTCTCTGCTGTAATTAAAAACATGCAGTGATTGTTTGTATCTTTTTTTACACTTTGTACCTGTTTAACGTCTCCATGGCCTCATCATCCGGCGGCGGGATCATGAAACACGCCCCAGGGAGGGTTTTTGTCTCTCCACTGGCGTTCTGAAGCACCCAGTTGTTATTATCAGAGTTGGACTTTAGTTTGAGCATATCACCACGCCTCACCGTGTCCTGAAACACACAGACCAACGAGGAGGGGAATAAAAACAACGTGCAGCCATGTTTCATATTTAAGAAGCCTGAGAGTCACTGCTGGTCTCACCTCCTCGTCCTCCCAGTCGCACAGGGACACGACCGTCGTGGGTTTGGTGGGCTGAACTCGACGTGACTTGAGAGGAGCGACGGTGCTGCTGAGCTCTTGGAGGGCGGCCACGCGCTCCTCGTTCCTCCTCACTGCTGGTTCGTCTCCCTGAAGGAGAGGAAGAACAGAAGAAACATTCAAATGGTTGAATGGACTCGAGCTCGTTTGGGATTTGTCTAATCCCATTCCAGGCAATTCAGGTTTAAGTGTCTTGCCCTAGGACACATCAGACATGTGGCTGCAGGAGCTGGGGATCAAACCCTCAACCTCCCAGTTCAGAGACGACCTCTACCCACTGAGCCACAGCCGCCTCGTCAATCTGTGTTTACGTTAGAGGAAGGGGCGGGATGTCGAAACTGCAGCTGCACCCGTCTCTACATGTGTAATACTTCAGCTCTTGTTGCAGGGTGTGTGTTTGCTTCACTTTTGTACAACAGCAGGAGGTGGAGATGTGCGTCTATCTTTATATACAGTCAACGGATTGGACCATGGACTCATGTTGTACCTCTATCACGATCAGGGCCTCGGCGTTGCTCTTGTTAGCCAGAGACTTTGGGTCCAGAGAGGTGTTGAGTCTCTGCAGGGAGTCGGACAGCGTCTCCGCATCCAGCTGGAACTGAATCAAACAAACAGAGAGACGCGTAAACACGTTAACACGTTAACACGTTAACACTGAGCAGGAGGATTTAAACTCACGGTCCGTCAGAGTGTGGTGTGCTCAGAGGGGATTACCTTCTTGTAGTCGTCGATGTTGTCCAGGTGAGTCTCCTGAGCCAGACACAGGTTGAGGAAACCTTGCCACTCTGTTTGTACAGTTTCCATGTGAGCCTGCAAACAACACACTGATTCAAATCAATGCAAATCATCCGTCACATCACTGTGATGTCTGTGACGCTTATTCATTACAGTCATCTGACTCTGTATTTCACTTTTTCACTTTTTGATCCAGTAGATGTTGACTATGACAAACTGCTGTTTGGCCACGCCTCCTCCATACTGAAGCCTCCGCTCTCCTCCAGAGACACACCTCCAACCCCCCTCCACTCACGTTTGCATGAAGGAAACAAGTGAAGCAGCGGACAAAATCGTCCTTTGCACGAGCTGCAATCACCTGTGTGCTGCATTGTTGTGTTAGCATGCTAATGTTAGCGCTCTTTAGTTAGCTCGTAGCTTCACATTGTTGTGTTAGCATGCTAATGTTAGCGCTCTTTAGTTAGCTGGTAGCTTCACATTTCATGTAAACTGACACAGAATGAGCGTGATCTAAAAACTCTTACTAACATCCAAATAATCAGTGAGTATGTTCTTCTTCTTCTCTCTAGTTCTTGACTAAAACAGCTTTTATACACAAGGGGAGGAGCCGGCCGTCCCGTCCATGTAAACACGGCTCTGACAACAACACAGCCAGCGGGACTCGAGCTTCTCCCTCATTGTAGACAGTCAGGACTCAGAGACACATTTACACAGGATAGACTTTATGATTTATTGATGTGGAACATGTCACATGTTCTTCCTTTAAGCTTCTTGTGACATCCTTTCGTGTTGCACATTCCTGCATAAATCAAACATGTCCTCTATTACACCAAGGGGATTCCTTTGCTTTTGCAGACACCCTCAAGTGGACACTCGCAGAACTGCAGTTTTTATATGTATTAAAACTTTCTCTGCACTAAACTCAGATTCTGATGTTTCTGGTGTCTGCCTCAGCTGACAGGTTTACCTTCACTGCCGCGCTGCCCGGATGTTTTTTCCCAATGAGAGTTTCTCCTTCGTTCTGCAGCTTGTTGACCTCGCTCTCGTGAGCGATCAGGCCGTTTGTTTTGAATTTCTGTGAACAAACAGGAACAGAGATGTAGAAAACAAGTCGATGCAAACAGCTCCTTCAGAGACTTCCTCGAGGGAACACTAAACAAACTTTTAATGCAAACAGGATCTCCCTCCGAGCACATTAGTGACATCACCACGCTCCAGCTCACCTCGTACTCCATGCGGACGCCCCGGGGGTCCACCATGCGATCGCTCCAGTCCCTCTTCAGGATCCTATCCTGCTGGCCCGACAGGTAGCCCAGCTCCTTATTGCAGCTCTGCATGTAGTCGTACAGAGAGGCCAGGTGGTTTTTCCTCTTCTGGGAGCTCTCCTGCAGAGATAGATAAACACAAACACATCCCTCTAAACCTGACTGAACTCATTAAGACAACTCCAGAGACACATGCAGGATGGACAAACTCACGTAAAGGTTGGCGTATTTCTCCTTGAGAGCGGGGTACTGGTCCTTTAAATGAAGAAGAAGAAGAAGCAGGTCAGTGATTCAGGAGAGCATGACGAGTCTGTTTATCCCTCTGTTTATCTTTCTGTGATTTACTGACACATGATATTAGACTGAGAGGACCCCCAAACTCCAGAGTACACAGGTGTTCTCCCTCAGAGACCCTCCTACATCATTTATTTCTCCCCTTGTTAAGATTCCTCTGCGGGAGAGATGCACGCTCCTTTCTGTTTGTGATCATTTTGATATTTTCTCTTAAATGTTACATTATCTGTCGCAGTATGTTTGTATATTAATATCATCCATAGACTGTGGAAAAAGACAAAACAGCTCTTGATTGACGGTAACCGTGGTTACCTTGGAGGTGGTGCTGGGCTGCAGCTGGGAGCTGTAGTCCTCGATGGAGCGGTTCAGGATGTTGTGTGCTGCGATCTGCTTCTCCACGTCGGACAGTTTGGGGCCGTACGGCTCTGCATTCAACTGTTTCTGTGAAACGACAGCAGAGAGAGAGAGAGCTATCACAGCTGATGATCAACAGGAAGTCTGGGCACTGAAACTCAACCGGAGCTCAAACCGACCTGTTTCTCATCCAGCAGAGGACCCCAGCTGATCTTCTGTGTGGGCTCAAAGGTTGGCTTGCGGTCGTAGAGTTTCCTGTAGATGGCGCAGTCGTTCACCCAGCGCTGGTGCAGATTTTTCACGCTGAAACAAACAAAAGTGTTTGAGATTTGTACCCAAAGGCTTCATGAACAACCTGAAGGAGCTGCAGAAATTAAACTTAAAAAAAGAGAACAAATCACATATTGATCTTCTTTTTTATAAAACAGGATGTGCCATTTCTCTTCTTTTCTTGTCTTTGTCTTTCATATTTTCGGGCGAGGACAATCAGAGAGAATGTGGCGTCACATCTCGATGGTATGCGACACATCGAGTTTTGGGGAGTGTCTGCCGTGTGTGTGTGTGTGTGTGTGTGTGTGTGTGTGTGTGTGTGTGTGATGATTTGTCAGATTAGACTCACTCCTTCTCGATCTCCTCCGCCTGCGGGTGGTGCAGCCTCTTGGACTTGTCCACGTCCATGAAGAGATCCTTCAGCAGCTTCTCGGCCTGCGCCAGGCTTTCTGAGTTCACCTTCTGGTGGATCAGGGTCTGCTTCTTCACATCTCGCTCTGAGTCCTGCAGGAGGAGAAACATTAGAACTTCTCTTCAGGAAGAAAAATAAAAAGGCTTATCTGCAGCAGCCGCCATGTTGGAAATGCTGTCTCAGTCTAACTTTCAGTCAACCTAACGACAGGCTGAGAGCTGGAGCTGAGGCGGGTTTTAAGCCTCCTGACAAACCGTTACACCGCGCTCACCTGTCAATCAGGTCAGCTACACGCCTTATTGTGAATAACTCTTATTGTGAATAACTCTTATTGTGAATAACTCTTATTGTGAATAACTCTTATTGTGAATAACTCTTATTGTGAATAACAAAATGAATGAGTTATCAAAAAATGTTGACAATCTAAGAGCAGCCAGAAGAGTTAAGTGAGTTTAATAAGTGCAGTCACAAGAGACAGGGGGCGTGTCCAGAGGTTTTTTTCAATGGGGTCGCCCTAGACTTAAGCAGGGGTGGCATGAAGTTTGTGGGCACACACACTATCCTGCATGGTTCCTGATCGTGCAGAGCTTGAAGTTAGTGGATCTGCTGGTTGCTGGTCCTGGTTAAACGTCCTGCAGCAGCGTTTTGTATCTTTTGTAGACGGTCGAGTGAGGAAATATTAAAGCAGGTGAAGATACATGGACTAACTGTTGCCTGTCTTACCTCAGCCAACAGCTCCTCTGCTCTCAGGATGTCTTTCTCCACCTGGTCTGCATTGCTCTGCATACGAGCGATCACCACAGCGAGCTCGTTGGCCTGACTCCTGAAAACACACACAGACAGAAGAGAGTCAGAATCATCAGACTGACGATCACACACCTCCAAAACTCTCCGAAATAAAATGTTTATCAGGACTTCTCAGGTGAATATGGATTATAAAAAAACTGAATGAAATGTTTTTGACCACAACTAAGGCAAATACACTTTCCTTTACCCCCCCTGCTCGACACACTTCCTCATCGAGCTGTCACTCACAGACTTTTTCTGCAGACCTGTTTGTGCTCTCTTAGTGTTTGTTCTGTCATTCCTCTGCCAAGTATTTATCCAGACACACCCTGATCACGACCAGGGGACACACGGAGGGGGGGGGCAGGAATGTGTGGTTGTGACATTCCTGAACGTTCAGCTCTTATCAAACGGGCGGCGTCATTAAGTTTCAGAAACGGTTGTAGTCAGACATTATGACTCATAGTGGTTCAGGGAGGAGTGACAAAAATAGAATTCAGTCTCTTGTACTTGTACTCTTTTCTTTAAAACTTCTGATTAACTTTATTTGACTTTGATGTAAAATTATTACGATATGTATTTTTGGTTTGTTGGATTTTATTTAAAGGTCCAATCAGTGAGATGATAAAGGTATCTTACTATCTGATCAGACATTAAGGAAACATGTTGAAGTTCTGGCTTCTCTGACAACAATGCAGCAGCCAGTATGTCCTCCTTCTAACTTCAGATTCTGCTCCTGAGTGCTCTGGAGCCGTTTTGGACGCCCCTCTGTTTGTCAGATATGAGAGCAGTTATCAGGTCAACAGGTGTTGCAGTGATGGAAGCGGTCAAGAGAAGTGGTTCAGATAGAAGTGATTGTACCCGACCTAAAAAGCCTCTGCATGTTTCTAATAAGCTCCACGAGCAGAAACGTGCTCAAACTAGGATCAATATTGGAGATGCTTTTGAAAAATGGAGAGAGGTTAGAACACAGAAAGGTTTACAGACCCATGCAGAGCTGGATAAACACTGAAGCTTCAGAGTCCACCACATGGTGACCTGAGTGAACATCCACTCTAGAGAGGAGGGGGGGGGACAGCTCTCTATGATGTTTAGAATTTAGACTGCAGTACCCATTTTAAACACTAGGGGTTACATACTGCTCCTTTAAAAACTAACCTGACCAGACATCATCAGAGAACACAGTTCAACCACATGAAGAGGAAACTGGCCAGAGATTATTTAAGGAGGCCTGATGAGTCAAATTAGACTTCCTGTTTGTAAATAATGGACACTGCGTCCTCCGGGTTACAGAGAAAAAGAACCATCCGGCTTGTTATCAGCATCCTTGATGGTATCGAGGTGTCCATGAACTGGTTTAGGAGCAACTTACGCTGCCAGGTAGACAACTTGTTTTCCAGCAAAGGCTTTTTTAATCTCAGCAACACGATAAGAAACCACATTCTGCTCATATGACAGCAGCATGGCTCCATGGAGTCTCTCTGTGAGGAGGTTCCTGGTTTGAATCCCTGTCCTTCAGGAGTCTCTCTGTGAGGAGGTTCCTGGTTTGAATCCCCGTCCTTCAGGAGTCTCTCTGTGAGGAGGTTAGGGTTTGAATCCCCGTCCTTCAGGAGTCTCTCTGTGAGGAGTCTGCATGTTCTCCTCGTTCATGTGTGGGTTCTCTCCTGGTTCTCCGTCTTCCTCCCACAGTCCAAAGACATGCTCTTTAGGTTAACTGCTGACTCTAAATTGTCTGTAGGTGTGAATGTGAGTGTATCTGGTTGTCAGCCCTGTGATTGGCTAGCAACCAGTCCAGTATGTAACCCCGCCTCTCGCCCAATGACAGCTGGGATTGGATCGGCTCCAGCCCCCCCACGACTCTGAACGGGAAAAGCTGCATAGATACTGGATGAATGGATGGATGGGTATAATTTCCAAAAGACAATAACATTGGCAGCCCTGCAGCGTTCGGCCCCTCTGAAAGGCCTCCAGAGAACTGGCCAAAGGTGGGCACCTGAGGAGGGGGGCCTTAAAGGGACAGTAGCTGAAATGAAGCGTTTCAGGTCAGAGGATGAAATGAGAGTTTAAATAAAATAAATCAGATCATGTGAAGCTGATCTGAAGGTTTCACAGACTGACGACATGAAAGGTGAACATGAGGAGGAAAAGGGGTCTTTAAGAAGTCCTCATGCTTTCAAACTCTACATCAGCACTCACAGGAAGCTTCCTGTCCAATCAGATTAAAATGTGTCCAACCTAACTGTTGCATAATCATGAATATCGAAACCTATACAAACGCTAACACATGAAGAAAACATGAAAAACACCCAGAAACTGACTCATTTACTTCCTTTCAAACTCATGTGTGACTGTTCAGATAAACACACTACACACACACACACACACACACACACACACACACACACACACACAGACCATGCCCTGCCGCTCCCTCAGCTCTTCCTGCTGTCACCGAGCGCCATGGCGTCAGGACACGCCCCACTGTGAAGGAGCGCTAATGTTCAACAACCCTCGCCCATCCACCTCAGGGTGACACGCTGCACCGAGGGGAGATAAACACCAGCTTTATCACCCTCAGAGGGGGTTGCACAATTACACACACACACACACACACACACACACACACACACACACACACACACACACATTTATGACCTTGTGCACATTCATAAAAAGCTGCTTGATAGAGCAGAGAGTCTCCTCCTCTACTCAAACAAACACTGGTTCCACTGCATAGCAATGACAACAAGCTGCTCTATTATAAACTGCCTCGGCTCGGATTAGAGCTGTGAAGGCACCATGTTGACCGAGAAGCCAAATGAGTCACAACACCGGCCTGATGAGCTCTTCGATGACACACACACCTTGGGCAAAGACACAAATAAAATAAAGACAGAAAAAACAAAAGGGAGTCAGGTGAGGCGAGGACAATCAGGTAAAACACACTCCATTAATAACATGGTGGTGTCATTGTTAGAGACAGCACAGGAGGGAAGATGTCAGGAGACTGTATCAAACACAGTTTGTGTGTGTGTGTGTGTGTGTGTGTGTGTGTGTGTGTGTGCGTTTAAAGGGACACCATGAGGTACTTTTGATATCGTCCAGGATTATCAAACAGCCCTCTCCCTTTGCAAACACAAAAATGAACAGGGGGAAAATGAAAGCAGAGTTGTGGAAACAAAAGAAGGGACAGTAACACGAGACTGGATGACCTCTCACTCACACACACACACACACACACACACACACACACACACACACACACTCAGGTATATAAGGGCACTCACTTGCTGAGTTTCACGGGACTGTATTCCTTTTTGTTCGACATCTTTTGGAGGACCGTCCGGAGGCCTGTTCTTTGTAATCTGAGTCCGACTGTTTCCTCTCAGCTCCTCACTCTCTCTCCTCTCGCTCTCCTTCTTATGGCGTCACCCTCCTCCTCCCTTAACACAGTTTAAGGAGCGTCCACCTGTCTCAGCTCCTCCCAGCAGGCCAACAGGTGTGTTGTCAAATCAAAAGTAGCAGCGGAGGAGCAGACCGGGCGGACCTGTTTGACGCTCCACAGCCTCGTCTCACTTTTGAATCTCCCCCTGCAGCAGCATCCGCTCTGCTCATTAAAGCAGTCTCTCTAAACACCTCTTCTGCACCTTTTTGAACCCCTCAGAGGGTTTATTTCCCCACCTGCACACACCCGCACACACACTCTGATTGGTGCCTGCAGCATGATAAAGCTCTCACTGTTTCCACTCGAGGAGGAATGTAACCGGACAGGTCGCTCCTCGGCTTATCAAAATCATTATTAGTTGAATTGTTCGTTTGACCTGACAAACGGATGTGTCATTACCATTTTTATGTGACATATAACATTTTATACGTGCTCTAAGGAGGTGAAAACAAACGTCTACGAGAAGAGGATGAATGAAAAGAGAAATTGGAGTAAAGAAGAAGAAGAAGATTTACTTTATGAATCCTCCACTTCATTGTGTGACATGCTAAACACACATAGGCTTACATTCATTAACAGAGAGATGTCAGAGTGAGGGGGCGGGACACAGCGAGCTCCTGAGATACAATTTGAGCTTGACATTTTGACATTTTTATTCACGCTCCTATTTATTGTGTTTTTATTGTGTTTCATTCTATATGTTATTTTATTTGTTCTTTTTGTTTTGTTCAGCACTTTGGTCAATCTAGGTTGTTTGAAAATGTGAAATAAAAATTGATTGATTGGTTGAAGGGGGTTACTCAGTGCCTTGCTCAAGGGCACCTCTGCAGTGCTCAACCAGTATCCAAATTTGGTCCACACCAGGACTTGAACCGTCGACCCTCGACAGAGACTCAGAAGCTGCTGATACTGTAATATACAGCAGTATTTACGGGGCAGGACTTGAACCCAAGTCCCTACAGACTGAGCTACGGCCACTACTAAATGTTAATATATACGTGTGTGTGTGTGTGTGTGTGTGTGTGTGTGTGTGTGTGTGTGTGTGTGTGTGTGTGTGTGTGTGTGTGTGTATATATATATATATATATATATGAGATTAGAGCCTACACCTGATCTTTTCTAAAGAGTGATTACTTCTTTGCTCCTGTGCTTCACCTCCTCCTTTCACAGAGGAAAACTAAGATTTATCATCTCCACAGTTAAGCGTTGATCACCTTTATCACCTACAGGTAATTAAACTCAGATTACAGACAGAGTCAGTGTTCTCATGGTCGAGGTCTTCTCATGGCGGTCATACTGAAACCTCACAGATGCTCTGAAATCATTCATTGACCAAAGATCTGCTCCGACTTAAACTCGGCCTGAGGGTGAGCGAGCTGATCGATTTCAGAGGTTATCAGACGCACACGCCCTGCAGCGTTATCTCTCTGTGACACACACGCAGTCAAAGTCAATGTGCAAGGATTTCAAACTCCACCTGCTGCAGAGAATAAAAACACTGATAACGAGAAGGTATGCAGGACGACGTCTAATGACAGCATAGACACATGTGTGTTGGCACGAACACAAGTATGCACCCTGCACAGTGAAGAGTGGGGGGTGGGGGGTGGGGGGTGGGGGTGTGCAGGACTGTGAAGGCATCTTCAAACAATGTCTTCACGCCTCAGCGCTCTGCTCAGCATGCTGCTCCGTCTCATGCCTGCAGTGGGTGTGTCTGACGCACACACCCTGAGCAGTTACTCCAGAAACCAACACCCACATACCTGCAGGTCCGGGAGGGAGGGGGGGGGGACGGAGGAACAAAAAGGTGGAAGAGAAGCGAGATCACAGAGAGAGGAGTGAGTGACAGCACAAGAACGAAGCGATGAGTGATGAGGTAACAGGTTAGCTTAACTTGAACCCTGAACCAGCGCCGCTTAAAGAGGCGTCAATGATGTTTGTTCAATAACAATTAATCAAACGACTGAAGGGAGAATTCCAGAGACAGCTGAGGAGAATCATCACCTAAAGCTGCTCTCAGCTGCACAGAGACAGTTTGAGCAACATGTTTTAGTTGTCTTTAACAACTCGATTGTTTCCTCTCCTAACATCTCTTCCCCAAGCAGCTTGAAAGATCCTCAGTCAACTTCCTGTTTCAAAACTCACCTCCGACAACAGCCACATTCACACATGCACTCATGAACATTTTTGGAAACTTTCCAACAAGCTGCCCTTGAAATCTTCCTGATTTAGTTCATTCACACACCGCCAGCAGCGGGAGCAACTTAGGGTTAAAGGTCACATATCCTCCTCTTCTTCAGTGTAAATAAGTCTCAGAGCTCCTCAAAACATGTGTGTGAAGTTTCTTGTTCTAAATCCACTCTGATCCTGTATTTGATCATGTCTATAAACCTCTCTATTTCAGCCCTGCTCAGAACAGGCTGTTTTTGTGCCTGTACCTTTAAATATGTAAATGAGCTGTGTCTGACCACGCCCCCTCTCTGGAAGGGCTTGGGTGTCTCTGTCTTTCTCGCTCCATGTCCTATTGTTTACGGTGAGAAGGCAGACTCAGAGGGCAGAACAAACACCTAGCTGTGGGAGTGTCACCCACCTGGGGGAGGGGCTACTGCCCTTTGTGATGTCATGAAGGGAAAATCTCCAAACGGCCTGTTTGAGCACACATTTTCTGAAAAGTGGAGCAGGCAGAAGACGGAGAGGATGGACTTTTCTCATCATTGGGGGGTTTGTAGACGGACTAGAGACACATGTTAGAGTTAGAGGAACATGGAGAAGAGGATTTTAAAAATGTGACCTTTAAGTGTCTTACACATGAACACATGGGACATGTGGCTGCAGGAACTCGGGATCAAACGGCTGAGAGACGACCTCTGATATCAACACGCTGTGAGTGGTTACATGTTGTTGTGCGTTGAAATGCAGAGTGACTTAAGATCAAACAAACTGGATCATGATGGGTCAGAGGGGAGATGATGAGGTACAGGAGTCACTCAGTCTGTGAGTAGTTTGATGTGCTCTCTCGTACTCAGAGGGGTTCACATCACATCATCATGTTGTTGTGTCCACTCGGGTACTTGAATCCTGCCCTCCTGTTTAAACTCCACGTTGTGCAACAGAACCCAGATAAGCTCGATTAGATCACATGGAGCTCCTCCACCAGCACACTCCCACCCGCAATCTCAGGTCTGTGGATGCAAAGCCCCCCCTCTGCAGAACAAACTATCGATCCAGGGGGGACAGGTTGCTGCTCCCACCCTCTGGAACTCTCTCCCAAATAACATCTGAGACTCCCCCACACTCACCTCCTTCAAGAAATCCCTCAAAACTCACCTCTTCATCACTGCCTACAACCACTAACTCCCCCCCCCCCACATTACTTCTTCATTGTACTGTCCTCGTTGTTTTTTGTTTTGTTTTATTGTTTTATGTTTTTGTCCAAGCGTCTGAGTTTTTAGAAAAGCGCTAAATAAAACCATTATATTATTATTATTTATGAAGTGGATCCTCCTCTGGTCCACACTGTAAATAGTTTACGTCACTGACATAGTTTCAGACAAAACAATATGACTCCTTCAACACTCAGGTGTGTCTGTCACTTATCGGGATGGAAACCAAAAAGAAGTTTCCTTTGACTCATATTTACAGGCGTTCCTCACATTCCTCATATCAGCCGCGCCCACACACACACACACTTCATCTATTCTCCCTGACAGCTGACCTGTGCCTGGTCTCACATCTCTGATTACTTACTGTATTATGATGGAGACTCTGATCTATTGAGGCTTCTTCATTTCCATGTTGGCTCGTCTTCAAGTTCAGGTAACTGAATGTTTGATGTTGTGATCTTGATAAGAGGCCTTACATATTCAACCACTGCCAATATGACATCATAGAGTCCAGAGAGATAAAGATCACTCTTAAAGGATTTAAATTATGTTTATAATTACTGTGAAGATGTCAAATCAGTCACCGCCTTCCTTAAAGGTTGTTTTAGCCGGTTCACTCTGCGTCCTTTAATTTGAGAACGATGCTAACTCCCATGAAACCTGCAGTATAGCTTTTTTATGTGAGCTATTTGGAGGATGTCCCAGGCAAGGCCGAGCCTCCCCATCAGGGGCCACATGACCCCTGGAACCTGCACCTCTGCTACGGCTCAGAAGAAACCTGACAAGTCTGCGACTCCTCAAACAAAAACTCGACGCTCGCCCTCCCTTATTGCAGGGCCAGTACAGGTGGACCAGCTGGAGACCCCGCAGGCTTGAAGCAAACAGGGCCGGCCTAGCGGCTCATATCAGGGGAGGGATTGAAGCAAAGAGCTGCACCATGAAGGAAAAGGTTCCTCCAATCACTAGGAGGTGAGATGACCGTTGACTTCAACCTTCTCGACAGCCAGACATTGTGCTCGTGTCTGTGTACGTCATATCAGAGGTGACTGTTCAAAGAGGAGGAGGGATGGAGGCCGCCCTCGAGAGAAAGTCAGCAACGAGATGTCCTAGCAAGCTGGAGGAGAGAGAGTGTTTAACTTTCCAGTAGAAGTCAGACGCAGGAGCTTCACTGGAAGATATCACCGAGCTGTTCTTGAAGTCTTTCATGGAGTCGAAGACCTCAAAAGGAGGAGAGCTCTCTAAGATCCTGCAGGGGGGAGGGAGCTTCTGGCTCTGAAGGAGGGAAGGACAAGACGTGGGGGAAAGGATCCTAGGGGCCGTCAGTCACATGCAGTCAGGTTCTATGTGCTAAGATTTCAAACTCCACCTGCTGCAAAGAATAAAAACGTTGATAACGAGAAGGTACCTGGATGTTGGTTCAGTTTGTGTTAAATGAATGTCCTGTGTGATTCTGTGTGTTACCAGCAGGTGGAGACATTTCACCATTCTATAAACCTAAAACTCAGGACTTAATTCATAAATAAATAATAATTAAAGTTAATTAGAATATTTTTCTGATCTTCGACACTGAAGGATCCAGAGCAGCCATTAGAGCTGGAGCT